TTTGTCTGATCATTCTTGAATCTTATTCAGAGAAATCTGCAATTGCCTCTAGCGTATCTCATGTCTGCCCCTCAATAGCTAATCTGTAGATCATCAACATAAAGAGATTCTAAGATGGTGGGAGGAAGTTCATTTAATACAGAGTTTATTTCTAAGCTGAACAAAGTTACACTAAGCACACAGCCTTTACGCACACCTTCTTCCTCTTCAAAAACATCAAATAAAACAGAGCCAATCCTTACTTGAAAAGTTCTAGAGTTAAAAAATTCCGAATGAAAATTAGTAGGTTGCTGCGCAAGCCACTGTCGTGAAGATCTCGAAGTATACCATATCTCCATGCCTTATCATAAGCTTTCTCAATGTCAAAGAATACTGAGACAAGGAGACTTTCTTACAAAAGCTTTTTGAATGGATGCCTCTAAAAGGAGCATGTTATCTACATTTGTTCTCCCCTTTCAAAAACCGCTTTGATAAGGCAATATAACATTATTCTTTTCCAAGAAGTAGACTAGATGGTTGTTTACCATTTTTTCAAACAGCTTGCATGCGCAACTCGTAAGGGCAATTGGCCAATAGTTGGAGGGATTCCTTCGATCTTTCTCTGGCTTAGCAAGAGGAATTACAACAGCTCTCTTCCATGCACTGGGAAAAGTATGCTCCTTCCATACTCTTTTGTGAAGAGTGAGAAGGGCAGTCAGTGACTTATAGGATAGATGCTTCAGCATTTCGTTATTCATGTCATCAAGACCTATGTGTCTAAGTGACACATAGGTCACATAGACACTTATAGTACCAAAAAAAAAAAAAGACCTATGTGTCTATGTGTGTGATCATAAGACCTATGTGTCTGCAACAAAGCTTTCCTTAATTCAAGCATAGTAAAGTCTCTATCATAAGGCTCAAAGTTGGAAGAGTTGAAAGCAATGGGACTTCTCTCAGAGCTCTGCTTGATAGAAAGAAATGCAGGTGAGTTATTTCTGCTGGAAGAAATGGCAGCAAATGTCTCACCAATAATATTCGTAATTTCTTCTATAGAGCTAATCACTCGGCCATCTTTTTCCAAAAAGGAAAGTGAGTCATCTTTATATATTCTGCATGTTTTTCTAACTCTTTGCCAAACTTGTTTACTAGGCGTAGAGGATGTTATTGATGACAAATATGTAATCCAGGAATCCCTCTGACTCTGTCTTCTTACTTTTCACGCACTTGCTTTGGCTGTTTTAAATGCCATAAGATTTTGCAAAGTTGGGTATCTGCGAAAAACTCCCCATGCTCTTTCCTGTTTTTTCAGTGCTTCATGACAGTCACGATTCCACCATGGTTTCAAATACTTTAGCATTTTTCCTGATGTCCTAGGGATGGAGAGCATAGCTGCCTGTATTAGTAACAGCTTCAACTGCATCATCGATATGCACATCTTCTATCATGTTCTCTGTGAGCTCTGCAGTGGAAGAGAAGAGTTCCCAGTCTGCCCCATCAAGTATAAACAGAGGGGATGTCGACATGGGGTTTGCTCCTCTTCGTGCAAGATACACAAAAATGGGATAATGATTGCTGTTGTAAAGATCATTTCCGATACTAAAAGTGCAAAATGGCAACAGAGATGGTCAACAAATTGCAAGGTCAAGAGCATGGAATGTCCTTGAAGGTTCATGGAAGTATGTATCCTGCCCATTATTCAGGAGACAAAGGTCATGGCCATTATTCAGTCATCTGCTCAATTTGTTTTACTTGAGAATTCATGTCTTTACTTCCCCAGAGCGGACTATGGCCCCTATTATGATAAAATCCCCTATTATGATAAAGGAGTGAGGCAGCTGCTCTTTAAGACCATTTAAATCTTGCTGATTAATGTGCTCATTTGGAGGTAAATATGGAGAAGCAACTGAAACAACAGTAGGAAAATTTGCTTGAGTAGCGACAACTTGGAGAGATGTCGTCAAAGGTGCATTTGATGGATAGTCCAGTGAAGTGGCCTACGCCTCCTCTGGCATGCTCACCTGCAAGGCTACCCTTCCTGACGAAAGAAAACCTCAAAAGTTATAGTGTCATTCAACATCATCAGCTCAAACTGTTATAAAAGTACATCCATCAGCTATTTTAAAATTTTGAATGACAATTGAATAATTTATAATTGCTAAAGATTATGAAAATAAATGGTATAAAAGTATTTTTCACTCTGTTAAAAATTTTAATTCATTTATACCTTTCACGACAACCTTTGACCACAAGAGTTGTTGTGCACCTTTCTGTTTCCTCTGAAAAGCTGTCCGACATTTAGAATCTACATTCTGCTTTTATAAATTGTTGTTCTCATTTCAGATTTGTTTCCTGTATTGCTAAGCACACAGGATTATAAGCATTGATTATAGCTTTGATGTTGAGCAAATTTCAGTAGAAACCGCGACAGTTCCATAAAACAAGGGTGGCCATTATGATTGATGTTTGTTCTTTCGGTGCTGCGTTTTAGTTTTGCGTGGAAGCAGATGCTTAGGAATTTCCAGTCTCTCCTCTACTTCTACTATCTGTAGCAATACAGGAAACAAATCTGAAATGAGAACAACAAGCAAAACTTCGGAGGTTTTCTTTCGTCAGGAAGAGTAGCCTTGCAGGCGAGCGTGCCAGTGGGGGCGTAGGCCTCCTCACCTCACTGGACTATCCATGAAAAGAGCTATTGCTGGGGCTTCTATTTTTATTTATTATTTTCTGAGTGACATTTTTGGGTTTGCTTTGAATTACTGTTTCTTTTTTTTTTTTTTTTGTGCTTTATGGGTTGGGTTTTCTTTTTTCCTGTTGCTTGTAAGCTGTTGAGTTTATTTGGAGGAGTCTGCATACCAACTGAAGTTTAGGTGGCAATTGCACAAAATATTTTAAAAGCATTGGCATAAGATGTATTTAGTCGAACCTGTGTGCTTTGGACTAATCTTCTGGCTTCAGCATATGTGATGTTCCTAGTAACTTTTGCAGTCTGCACTTCTTTTTCTGACTTCCATTTTGGGCACAAGCAAGAAAATGCTGGGTGTTCCCCTTGCAATTAATACATAAAGGTGCAGCGATACAATTTTTACAATCGTGACCAATCTGTGAGCATTGGGAGCATGTGAGGCTGCTACGACAAGACGACATCTTAGAATGGCCGCAGTGCTGGCATTGGAAGCATCGCATAAGGTTGGGAATATAAGGTCTTACAGGACAATTTAGGTATCCTGCCTTAATATTCTTAGGCAGATCAGGCAAGTTGAAGGTCAGGATCACATGTTTTGCATCGATCAACCAACTTTCCTTACGCATCTTGATCCGCTTAGCATCACAGACATTTTGGCTAGACAGCTGGGATGCGATCTCTTCTTCGGGAACACACAAAAGGTCGATTTCTGAGATTACACTGCAACAATAATTCAATGGCTTATGTACTGTTACAGTGACATTTGCTTGCCCAAGTTTGGTTACCTGAAGTAAAGAAGCAGACTGGCTGAATTTGTATCAACAAGCAAGTCTCCAGAGTGGAGACGCTTTACATTTCTGGGCTCACCAATACAAGAATGAATGTATTTATTTATCACGAAAGGAGACATCTTTTGCAGCTCTCCAGAAGGACTAGAGATAACAAGGAAACGGAGACTATTATTAGGATTATTTGCATTTGCATCTGTACGTACCTTTTTTAGCAGTAGATTTTTCAGAACTACCACTTTGAGCAACTGGAGTGACTTCGAAGTCTATTAGATAAATGTGAGAGTTGGCCATATTGAGGAAAGAAAAGATTCGGGTCTGATGGTCCCGCCCAGCATGGAGCCCAACAAGGGAACATAGATTCCTGTGTTAGGGCTAGCCAGACCTATACGCAAACTGAAGCCCTACAGTCAGCTTTCCCGAAAGCAGGTACACCCGAGAGCTTATCCTCAAGCCACTGACACAAGGACTAGTCACCAGCCGATTGACACCCGTGAGGACGACAAGATGCCTCCCGTTTAGCTGAAGCAGAGGCCAAAGCAGTGTTGGGGACAGTACCTCGCCCCTCAACTATCAGGACCCTCCTTTCCAGCAACACAGGTCTCTACGCACGGCAAAACACGTAGGCAGTTTTCTCACCACTCGAAAACAAGAGACAAGAGCAGTTCCAGCTTCTTGTGTTGAGCCCCAACCTCCAAAAAGGAAAACCACAAGGGAGAAAGAAAGGAGAAAAAGTTTCAGCTTAGAGGAGAGGAGACGGAAAAGAGTATAGATCACTGGGGCCCCAGGATCATGAAACCCGTCTCACCAAGAAGATGATTCCCTGAAGGTCTAGGGTACCTTGGGATTACCACACCCGTACTCACATAAAGTGAGCTCCTGAGGGGTTAGTTTAAAAAGACTGGCTGATGAATGCTTCTGGAATGTTCTTAATAGCTTCATGTCCTATCTTCAATGGTATAAATAGGAGGTTATGAGGAGCTGTGAATAAACTGAGGTTAACCTGCTTAGAATGATACAGTAAATTTTATGATTCAAGATTTTTAGTTTATGCATTGTGAATGATTTTATAATTTATAATATTTATCTTGAATTAAGGAGAATCACAACATTCTCTCTCATTACTCATTGAGCAACCTCCAACTAATATTCTTCATTTAAAAAAATTTTATTACTTGGAGCTGCAACATTTATGAACAATTAATAAATAAAATTCTACTTTTCAGATTACATATGATGCAAATTTAATTAACAAAATACAATCTATTCCCTGTTATTATACATTGATAAGTGTGTTAATTTAAAAATTTCAGTTTCTACAAAATAATAATGGCTTAAAATATAGTAAAGTATTTAATTATTATACATTTTTATACAATTAAATTGTAAATGAAAGTTAATTAAGCTAAGTTATAGTGTCATTAAACATCATCAGCTCAAACTGTTGTACAAGTACATCCATCAGCTATTTTAAAATTTTTATTGACAACTGAATAATTTATAATTGCTAAAGATTATGAAAGTAAATGGTATAAAAGTATTTTTCACTCTGTTAAAAATTTTAATTCATTTATACCTTTCACGACAACCTTTGACCACAAGAGGCATGCCTTTCTGTTTCCTCTGAAAAGCTGTCCGACATTTAGAATCTATATTCTGTTTTATACGTTGCCAGTCTTTGTTACTTATACCAAACATATATGTAATATGACCTAGAAAAAAGTAAAGTGCTTAGACAAATTTTGAAATTTATATACGTAAGATATAACAAAATACAATAGCTGTTTCAAAAAAATAATTGGCGATCTCAAAATTAACATTCTAAATTTGGTGTCTCCCCTGGGTCCATCTTTTCTCTCAGGTTCCAGATTTCTCTATGTTACGTAACGTTTTAATGCACATACTTCTTATCCAATCAAATTAATTGTAAACCAAAACTCAGAACTGAAACTTTCTCGATTCTCACCCTTTTTCCTATGAAGTACTGCAAAACTCTCCCTTTTTCGCATAAGCTCTCCTGCTGGCAAGATGCTTTTCATCCATGCTGCTTCCGCTTACTTGCTTAAGATGACATCGAACTCCAAAATGGAATTTTTTGTATTCAAATATAATTAGGAAGCATCTTGTCTGCAAAAGGATGGTTTGATATACTTAAAAAAAAAAATAAAGATTGTGATTCTTCAAGATACGTTGCGCTAAATTGTGTCATCATGCTTTCCACTCAGCCACCTTCAAGCCACTATGGTCTTCTCAGCTATCTATGCAATATCGTAAGCTGTTAAAGTTCCAATGCCTTCATCTATGCATTTTAAAATCATTACATATATATATTTATATATTTATTTATTTATTTTTATAGACATTACAATCTTCTCACTAAAACAGGATGCTTCAAAAAGACTATGCCATTAAAGAACTTTTGAATAGTTAATCACATTCAAACCTTCCATAAAATTCCAATTAGTAAATTGCTTTTTATCCTATGAAAGATCTTTTGAGTGGAAGAGGTTTCATTCTTTAATAGACAAACTGGTTGATTGGGAGGATTTTAAAAGTTGAAGACTACCAAATGCTAAACACAAATCTGATGAAGAAAATGGTAAACTACTGTTTTTAAAGGGATTATATAAAAACTGAATTCCTTATCTACAGTTTCAAATTTTAGTACGACAACAAATGGAAATTTGAAAACTGTACTTTGCGGTAACAAAGTCAAACTTTCCCCCCCCTCCTTTGCCTAGCATGTGACTCACTGGCGTGCAGTGCAGGAAAGGAAGGTGAAACTCCCTCCCTGAGTAAACCAACCAAAAGGTACTGAAAACATTTAACAACCAAGCTCTCTGATTCATCACTGACGCTATTATAACCACCCCAGTTGATGCACTTTTATTAACCACATACAATGTGTGCATTATATCCATTGTGAAAGAGAACGCACAACTTGCATGGGAACAAGTTTTAAGAGAACCAGATTGCTTTTCCCTGTCGAACTACTGCTTTTTATCGACAGGATTCCTTTAAAACTCAGAATGGTTTCCTTAAGGCAGTTGTTTCCATCAGAAATCAGCTAGGCCTTAGATAGGAAACTGAATCTTAAAAGAGAATATGTAGTCAGAATTAATCTGTTATATGAAATCCTTAAAAAAGAAACGAATGACCAAATTTTAAAATCTATGTCTTTGGAAAGTGCTTTATATTCCAACAGTGAATGGCTACATGTGTTTATGGATCGCTCTATATTGGCTGACAGTCTTAATGCAGGCACTGGCATATTTTGCAAGCTTTTTTCATTTTACAGTCCTGTTGGAAAGAAATGCTTTTGATGCTGAGATTACAGCCATATGCATAGCCATATCTCAAATTTAATGTCTCCTTGAACATTTTTCAAGGGTTGTCATACTCTGTGATTCTAAAGCTGCTTTTCAAGCCATTTCTTTTTTATTTTCTTTTTGAATCAACAATGTCTGTTGTTGTTTTAAAATGTCAGCAGTTACTAAACAGCATAGCTCAGGATGGCAAAAATGTTGCCATGTAATAGATACCATCACACTGTGGAATAAAAAGGCAGATTTGTTGGCAAAGAAAGGGGCCAATATCCTCCAAATAACTAATAACCACATCCCTTTCATACTGCCAAAAAGAGTAATAAAAAATTACTATAGAGAAGTTTTTCGGAACTGAAAGGAACAGTCATAAAGTATGGATTGAAGAATTTTTGGCATTCTTTCATGATACATAAAGAAATCTTTTGCTATCTTTCATCTTGTAATTGTTCATGATTGTCTTTTAAAATATCTGCATCAAATTAACATTGTCCCAAGCCCAATTTGTAAACTGTGCAACTTTCATGAGGAAATGGATGCCTCACATCTGAGTCATTGGCCTCCACTTAATGCTCAGTCACTCTGAGAGAGATAATTGGGAGGTGAGACACAAAATAGATCTATAGATTATACTGTGGATTGTTTTTAGTTTCGTTCTCTTTCATATTTGCTTTTTTTGTCTACAGTTGTCTTTGTAATCTGCCATTAGGGAAAGGGAGGGGGGGGGAACTTCTGCACTAATACTTATCTGACATAAAATGCATCTTTCAGAAATATGAAACTTTCCCCTTCATTTCAAAACTTAACATGAGAGTTTCTCTAGCAATACAATTCCCCAAAACTTTATTCGAGGGTGTTCATAATAAACTTTAATCAACGGCTTAGCATTTCAAGCGACCTCCAAAAAATAGATGACATTACCCTCAATGTCATAAATTTGCTGGTGACTTTAATTTATATGATTTGAAGTACATTAGATTATATAAGAATTGATTTTCTTTTGTTTTACTAAGCTGTCAAAAAGAAAATTTTTTCATTGACATCTCCCTTCCATACAAAACCATTATAGAAACTTAATATTTTTACTAAATGGAACTACACTACAACTGACTGAAAAATGTACTTAGCTGTGCAATTTCTTTTTTAAATGCCATGTGTAACTAACTATAAGAGAAAAACTAATGAAATGAAGATCAAGTGAAAGATAAGCCATAAGATATGAATAAATAGAGATGATAACAGAATAATTAGAGTACTAGTTAAACATTATTTTTATGTTTTGGAAAAACACTGGAATAAAAGAAGTGTTCTGCATATCAACATTCCCTTCCACAGTAAATGGCTGGCCAAGCATTTTAGCTCATGCTAATCGTATATCAAATTCATAAATGTTATAAAAAATGTAAGGGCTCTGCAAACATTAAAATTAAATTGTAAGGAATTACCACATCTATAATTCATAACTTATCACACACATAGGGATAATTACTTAACACAGTAACCTTCTGGGGGGAATAATATGGATAAAAATCAGCTACTCATATACTGTTTACTGAAACAATCCCCTTGTAAATTAAAAGCACTCATCACAGCATGGTATGAATTTTTGAATTTGCTTGAAAAATGACTTATACTATTCAAAATTATCCATTGCTTTTCATTGTGGAAGCATGACATTCTCTACCAGACCTTCAGTGTGCGATGCTACATACTTCAATGTGTCATAGAAATTACTTTGGATGAGGCCAAGCTGGAGCATAAAAGGCCAATAACAGTATTGTAACAACATGTAGTAGGCATATGACCTTACATAAAAATGCAAAACTTAATACAAGTATTAGTGCATAAGCATACATATCTTTTGTTTTTAAAGGTCTTTGCATAAATAATTCTTTTAGAAATCTACAAAACACATGTTTCTGATGTGATTAACAGTTCTGATGTTTTAATTACCATGAACTCAGTCAGTCATAGTATGACACTCCTTTCCTATCCCAAAATACTATTTCCATCAACATTTTGTTAAAACATGACCAACTGAAATTTTTTGAAGTTTAGGTGAACTGTACTGCATTCACTGTCATAACTGTTTTTTTGGCTTCCACAATGACAAATTTAGCTTAAATTCCACTAAATTACTTGTCACAGGTTCGTAGCATAAGGCATCGTAGCATCTTTGTTAGAGATACACCATCTTAAGGCCCTCAATAATACAAATCTGTTCAGCCTTTACAAAATTTTTTCTACACCAATCTTTGATGGAAGTAAGATCATAGAGTTTGATCCATAAATTTTGTTCACTCTGAGATGGGTTTAAGCTATAATGTGGCCTTCTTTCTAAAAATCTGATATAAAATCTTCAAAATCTGAAATTTGGTGAAATGATTTCTTCAAAGCATACATTCTAGTCTGTTTATCCCATGATGAAGCCTTTCCATATAAAAGGTCAGTTTTTTTTTAAAGTTTTCCAATTTGAAGTTATTTTAGTTTTCTTACATAAAGTTATTTTATTTATTCTTTGAAATTTCAGTAATGAACACACACAAACAGAGTGAGAAGCACTATTTTCTTTAGAAATTACATCTGCATCTTATGTTCTTCACTAAAATTGAAACAGTAATAGTTTTTAGCATGCCAAACTACAGTTTTTATTATACAATTGGTACATTTAATAAAATTTTTCAGCTAATGCCTAATTCAGCACTTGCATATTAGTGCATACACATTGGCACAGTTTGGCAATCTTACTCACTAATAAGTGAGTTAATTTTTTTTTTTTTATTTTGGTCTTGAAGGAAATTTTATAGCACCAAATTACACATTCATGGCAATTATCCTCTCTAGCAATTTATGTGGCAAATTATTGTTTTCTTGTAGAAATTTTACAGCAGTTTGTTTCACTGAAGGCAAATTTCACAAGTGCATATTTTAAAATTGAGTTGAAGACAAATAATTAATCTATAAATACCACTGGAACATGGAATACAACAAAATGAAAATATATGAAAATGGAGATGTTGCTCATCAAAAATGAAGACTTGATATGCATGTGGATGGCAAAGTTTTGTATATTCTGAAATGGTAACTTTTAAAATTGGTTGTGATTCTCCTTTAAATATGTCAAGAGATTATTTAATGAATGGGTTTTTAATGCTTTGATGTTTATGTTATAAATGTGATAATAACAAAAGTTATGCTTGATTCATTATTTCCCACTTTTCTAACATTCATTTAAACTTTCTGTACGAAATGCAGTTTATCCATAAAATGTCCATTTTACCTGCAGATGTCATGATTTCCTCCATTACATATATTCACAATTTTAACAATAACAATTTTTTTTCTTAACATTTAAAGATTACCTTACATTTATTTCTGCATTTGTTGAACAATATCTGAGGTAATACAGTACAAAATCTTTAATCCGGACTCATCGGGACTCGTCTGAATTAGGGTTTTTTCCGGATTATAGATTATAAATTTAAATCTGGTAAGATGGCATGCAGAAATTATAAAATTAAAAATATAAAACCATAATTTATGAAATAAAGAGCAATTATGATCTAAAGGGTATCAAAATTTACAAAAAAAGCTTAATATTTATTTGTTTACTTTATTAAACATTTCTTTCAATGTAAGTTGCTTCGTTTCTTGGGCTAATACTTTCTCTTTAATTCTATAAACAGACATAATTTCTTGTTTAGTTCCACTGATCAAGTCCTGTAATTGCTGTGTCGAGAATACCGACTAACTTGTCAATTGAAATTTTTTCATTTTCAATAACCTCTCTGTCACTTTCTTCACTATCAGAAGCAGTACATCGAAACATGCTTTCGTTTGGTAGATCCTTTGGCAGCTCCAGAATCGGAAACTCTTTTTGACATAATCGAAAGTTCAAGCTTACTTGTTATAAAATTGCTCTAACAGTCTGCAAAAAATAATAAGCTGGATCCAATTAGAAGATTAAGGAACAATGCAATCTGCAACATTAACTGAGATAGATAATTAGATAAGTTTAGCCTAGCCTATACCGTCCGTTATACATTAAACGCGCATGCGTAAACGTATTATGCGTTTACACATGCGCAGAAGGTTTGTAGCTTTGTGAGGTCTGGATTAAAGACTTTGTACTGTATTATCTTTATTTTTAAAAAAAATTGAGAAATCAATTTTTTTTTAAGAAATGGATATTATTATGTTATTTAATAAAATGAAATGATACAGTTACTTACATTTTATACCATATATTTTTAAAGGGTCTAACTGTTGTTTACCATGTTTTCCAGTTCCAGATATATTTGATTTTGCTTGAATTTCTCGATCAAATAAATAATCTAAGAGTAGCAATGCCATTTTTTCAGGAGTTGGGCAACTATTATTTATGAGTTCCAAATCTCTAGAAACATTAAAAATTCTTTTACCAAAAAGCAGATTAAAATATTTAATTAATTTTAGAACATTTCAATATAAAATTTATCAGAATAATTACGATAAAAGAAACGTTAACATATTTGACATACATTAAGTAATGCAATAATACTGAAATTCTTACTATTATATTTTTTTGATTTTCTGAATCAAATTAGTTGGTCACTTTAATTTCATGCAAGATTGATGACATTTTCCTTTTTTCCATTTGAGCATTAAATTACTATTTTAACATATAGCTTCTTTAGTATAGTCTATAAGAGAATTTTAAATTATTTATTTAATTTATCTATTTCAATTTAATTATTCTATTTAAATTACTATTTTAACATATATCTCCTTTAGTATAGTCCATGGTTCATAGCCACATTTTAGTTAAAAAAATAAGCACCTATAAGCACTTTTCAAGCACATTTTAAGGAAAAAATAAGCACCTGTCTAATTACATTATACACAACTGCATAACCTTAAAAGAAAAATTAAGACTTGTAATTTAAAATATAAGCAATGTGATATTTATTAAGAAAATGAGCATTACTTCAACCATGGAAAACAATTTATATTTTTTTTATTTTTATTTATTTATTTTTAATTTTTTTTATTTTAAATGAAAGTTACAGAATTAGTTAACAATGAGAAGGAAAAACAAAAACTATGCAGAACTAAACTATATTACAAGATTTAATGATGAAATTTCAGTTCAAAATATAGAAAATAAATAATAATAAGCCATATTAATTGTATTCGTTTGGCACCTAATAAAAAATACAATTTATTTTTCCACTCATATTAATATTTAAATAATTTAACTTAAATCAAAATTCTGAACAATTTCTAAATTTTCATTGCATAACAGTTTTTCCTTAACATATATTCCAAGCAAAGTAATTTAAGTAAAAAAGAGGCACATTTCTGAAATCAGAAGACGGGATCATGCAGTCTCCTTTAACAGTAAAAGCTTAACTAACCTGCATACTCGGAAATTGCCAAATATTCCGGATAGTAACTGGAAAAAGAGGAGTGGGGGAGACAGTAGTCGTTCTTTAGATTTCTCGGCTAAATAAATGATTTTGACATTTCGATATGTGCATCATATAAAAACAGACCAACGGAACTGAGAAATATTCTGCTTAGAAAGCACAGAAAAACTCTTTTAAGTGTTTATAAACAAATCTCAGACTGAACATCAAAATTAATTATCTCTGCAAAATACCGCAAACCATGGAGGTAGGAAAGGGAGGAGGGGCCATTCCGCACTAGAAGTGAAGCACTGCTTTGAAGCTTGGGTCACCAGACGGGGTGTTCTTTGTTTACATTCAGAAGCTCGCTTGACAAGATTCTGATAGTATTTCGACACACGACAGTTCCATAGAAATCGAAGAAGGGACACTCTCGCATGAAAGAAACATTCATAGTGTGATGGATAATAGCAATTTGTATAGTTTACTGACATTTACGCAAAAATCACATCTTGGTTATTTTTCGATAACTAACAACAGCGATTTTGATTATGAATTTGTTTTATAAAATTCTAAGCTGTTGCACTACAAAAATATAGATTTTAAGAAAGAAAATTGCTAAAAGAGATCTGCCAAAATTTATTTTTCTAGAAGATTTGAAAAGTTTGAAACTTGATGGCTAAATGCAAATATAAAATTATGTATGTTAAAATATTTGTAATTAGGCACATAGGTCAGATTAAGTTTTTATTAAATAGAGCAACGCATACAAGGGCTATCTGCCTAAAGAGAGAGATGCCATCATGGAGGAATTTTGAAGAAAAACTGACCTTTGAGTGGGTATTAAAAATAATACTTATAATTTTCATTCAAATTATATTCATCTATATTTTTTATGTAAAATTTTCGGGTGTATGCTAAATTAGTGTAAATTACTTTACACGAAAAATATAGTGAATGCACAGAAATTAAAGATTTGCACATGCCCGAAATGATAAATAGGAAATATGTATGGGTATTTATGCATGTGCTTGCAAAAGCATGTATCTGCCTTTGACAAAATACTTAAATATTCATTAAATTATTTATAAATGTATTTGAAATGAAGAATTTATTCACTTATAAACAACTGTGAAAGTACTGTGAAGAAATCTAATGATTAAATGTATCTAATTTATAATGATTATAAATGTTATCTAAATATATAACCTTAATATTGAATAGTAAACATAAATTGAAATCCTGTTGACAAATACGTTATAAAACTATTTAAGCAAGAATTGTTCGTATTGGAAAGCAATCTGTTAAAAGGTATTGTAAAGCAAATGCTATGAAATGCGCACTTAAGAACGTAATAAAGAGTTTTGGAATATGTATTGTTGAAATGAAGGGTTAAAAAAAATCTGATAAGTATAATTAAAAGAATTATTCCCTTTACATTTTATAATAACTCAGTTACAAGTTTAAATAATACTTAAAGAAAAAAAAAAACTTGTTTATTCCATTTCAGAAATGTTCAGAGAAAGTCAAATACTATTTAATACCTATTTAATTAATAATTCTCTAATTTAAAATGAACCAAATAGAGCATTAATTATAAATTGACTTACATTTTTCGATTTAAAAGAAGCCAAAAAATCATGTCATATTTAAGAAAGTATTTTAGAAAGAAGCTCTATAAATAGAAAAGAAATAATGCATAATTTTAATATTAATAATACAATAAACTTTGATCTTAATTTTTGTACCTTAACCGAATAAAATCGAATTACCTTAATTTTTTTTCTAATGTAATTAACGAAAACTTGTGAAAATATTTCATTCAAATTAAATCATTCTGAGAAAACTGTCCTGTGAAAAGTATAGCATTTAATTCCGTTCAGAATGAAATATTGTTTAAAAATATGTTGTTTTCACATACTTAGGACTCTGAAGTGTTGTAGAAAAAGAAACTATATACATTTATATGTATATTTGCGACGTAATTACAAAATATTTACACTCGAACGCGTCAAATCCCATAGAACTCAATGGTAAATGACCCAATGTTTTGGTCACCACGTAGGGATCGCCGGTGCTTCACAGCAGGGTATGGAGAAACTTGTTTAGGGCGACTCCATCTTACTTCCTACCTCCATGCCGCAAACGTTATTGCGCAATACGTGCGCCGTAATTCTTCCACATGTGATATTATGCAATCGGAATCAACAGCTGCGGTATTCGGAGAATAAAGAACTAAATAAAGGAAAAGAAAGAGACTTACTAATTTGGGGTGTTTCTGATTCTAAGTTTCAACAGACTGCGTTAAATTTCCGGAATAGAATCAATCTTCGCTTAGGTTGGGTAGACGGCAAAAACTTTTAGTCCTATTCAATCCAGATTGGACAGTGTGGGGGGAGGGAAGAGAGAGAGAAAGTATTTTGACTATTCGATTACTTTCCTTTTATTTAAGCCATTCTGAATATTATTCCCTAGAAAGCTAATCTGTGTAAAAACACACCCATTTTTTGAAGTTTATCTATACTTCAGCAGTTACTGCAACTATATTATTATAAATATTCATGCATATACTCAAAATATAAGCATAACGATCATAATAAACACGAATATGAACTGACCACGCGGAACGAAAATGCAAATTATTAAAATCTTGATAGAAATTCAAACGTGCGTAGTATTTGGGTGGGAGGAAAAGAATACCGAATGTAAAAGAATTTTCTACCATTTTCGCAATTCTTTGACCAATAGAACCACGTGCACCTGTCTGTACTCTCGTGCGCACCATAGGTTACTGTAATGCAGAGAACATGGAGGTAAGGAAGTAAGATTGAGTCGCCCTAAACGAGTTTCTCCCGTACCCTTTTCTGAAGCACCGGCTATCCCTACGTGGTGACCAAAACATTGGGTCATTTACCATTGAGTTCTATGGGATTGACGCGTTCGGATGTAAATATTTTGTAATTACGTCGTAAATATACATATAAATGTATATATTTTCTTTTTCTACAACATTTCAGAGTCCTAAGTATGTGAAAACAACATATTTTTAAACAACATTTCATTCTGAACGGAATTAAATGCTATACTTTTCACAGGACAGTTTTCTCAGAATGGTTTAATTTGAATGAAATATTTTCACAAATTTTTGTTAATTACATTAGAAAAAAAATTAAGGTAATTCGATTTTATTTGGTTAAGGTACAAAAATACCCATACATATTTCCTATTTTTCGTTTCCGGCATGTGCAAATCTTTAATTTCTGTGCATTCACTATATTTTTCGTGTAAAGTAATTTACACTAATTTAGCATACACCCGAAAGTTTTACATAAAAAATATATATGAATATAATTTGGAATGAAAATTTAATTGCATTATTTTTAATACCCACTCAAAGGTCAGTTTTTTTCTTCAAAATTCCTCCACGATGGGATCTCTCTCTTTTAGGCAAATAGCCCTTGCATGCCGTTACTCTATTTAATAAAAACTTAATCTGACCTATGTGCCTAATTACAAATATTTTAACATACATAATTTTATATTTATAAAACGTGTAAGCCCAAAGTGATTATTTTTCAGATATATAAAATTTAAAACGATGGGTTTTAAAATGAGCAGCAGTAAAGCCTCTCCTCTAAAAAATTTTAAAAGGTACATGTTACAATAATATATGGATGTGAAAAAAATTTGTTTTATTTAAAAAATTTTGATGTTTGGAAAATAAAATAAAAGTAACGAATACTCTATCAAGGGTATCGAAAGACGTATACAATTTTAAATGTACCGTAAGGTATTTTTCATTCTTTAAGCATAACATTTTTCTTAAAATCTATATTTTTGTAGTGCAACAGCTTAGAATTTTATAAAACAAATTCATAATCAAAATCGCTGTTGTTAGTTATGGAAAAATAACCAAGATGTGATTTTTGTGTAAATGTCACTAAACTATACAAATTGCTATTATCCATCACACTATGAATGTTTCTTTCATGCGAAAGTGTCCCTTTTT